GAGGATTTTTGTGTCTGCGTTCATTAACAAGATTGGCCTATAGTTTTCCTATTTGGTTAGGGCCTTTTCTGGTTTTGGGATCAGGTTAATGTTAAGTTACAAGAATGGCTTTGGGAATACTCCTTCCCTTTTGATTTCATTAAAGAGTTTAAGGAGTATTGGCATTAGATTTTTCCCTAAAGTTCTTCTAGAATTCAGCAGTGAATTCATTAAGACTTGGGCTTTTCTTCATTGATTTATTCATTTTGTTACTTTTTCAATCTCATTTCCTGATACGGGATTATTCAGAGTTTTTCTATCTTCTTGATCATATGTATCGAAGAATTTATCTATTTCCTCTGGAATCTATTTTATTAATGTACAGGTTCTCATAATAGTTACTAGTAATATTTTGAATTTTGGCAAATCTGTTGTGATTTCATCTTTTTCATTTCTAGTTACATGGGGTTTGTTTTTGTTTGTTTAAAGATTGGCTGGGGTTTGTTTTAGTTACTTTCTCATTGCTGGAACAAAATGCTCAGCACCCACAAGTAGAGAGAGGAAAGGTTTGTTTTAGCTCGCAGTTTGTAGGAGTTTCAGTCCATAGTCAGCTGGCTCCAAGGCAGGGTTCCCTGGCAGAGGGGCATTACAAGAAACAGTTCATGGCAGGATAGGCAGGAAAAAGCAGTAAATATCCTTTTCCCTTTATTACTTTGAAACTATTAGCCGATTGGCACCACCTACACCCAGGAAGGGCCTGCCCATTCCCGACCCTCATAATCCAACCACCTTCTAAAAGTCCCACATGTGAATGAGTAAGGTTTGGGGAGACATGTAGATACGAGGCATAGCAGGGTTTTGCTGTCTTGTGTAGTCTTTCAAAGAACCAACTCTTCAATTCATTGATTCTTGTTTTTCTTTTTTTTTTAGTTTTAGTATCAATTTCATTAGTTTCTGCTCTAATTTTTATAATTTCCTTCCTTATATTACTTTGGATTTCAATTGTTATTGGTTTTTTAGGACCCTTCAGGTACATCATTACATTACTTATTTTAACTCCCTCTGTTTTCCCGATGTGGGTACTCACTGCTATGAATACTGTTTTGTAGGACTGCTTTCATTATGTCCCATGGGTTATCGTATGTTGTACTAGCATAATTGTTTCATTCCAAGAACTGGCTAATTTCTTCCTTGATTTCTTCTGTAACTCATTGAGTATTCAAAAGGGTATTATTCAATTTCCATATGTTTCCATAATTGCGGTTTCCTTTGCTTTGATTTCTAATTTTATTGCACTATGACCTGATAATATGCATGGGATAATTTTGATTGTTTTGTATTCACTTAAGCATGCTTTATTGGCTAATAATGGTCTATTTTGGAGAAAGTCTAGGTGCTACTGAGAAAATGTATAGTCTGTTGTTGGGTGAAACACTGTATAGCTATCTATTAAGTCCATTTGTTTGAATGTTTGAGTCTATTGTAATATTTCTTTAATTTTTTTTGGTCTAGTTGACCTATTTGTAAGTTATATGTTGAGTTTCTCCATTAGAATTGTGTTAGTTTTACCTGATTTTTCATGTCCAGTGTTTGTTTTATAAAGTTGGACATCCTGGGTTTTGGTGCATATATGTTTATAGTTTTTTTTTGTTGTTGTTGTTGAATTGTTTCCTTAAACAATATGTAGTAACCTTATTTGCCTTTTCTGATCAGTTTTTGCTTAAAAATCACTTTATCTGAAATTTAAAATAGCTACTCTCATTTTTCTTGCTCCCTATTGCATAGAATATTATTTTCCTGATTTATAATCTGTATATTTCTTTTACAATTAAATGTATTTCTTGGATATCACATATTACTGAGTTTTGTTTCCTGATCCATTCTGACAATCTGTGTCTTTTGACTGGTGAAATGAGACCATTCACATTGAAAATTACTGAAAGGTATTGGCTACTACTATCATGCATTGTTTTTCTATTGCTGATTCCTCTCACTGTTTCTGCTTAACTGTTCATGCTACCTGCTGTATTTGTTCTATTAGACATCTTTTAGCATTGTTGACTTTATTGTATCTTTTTAAGATAGCCTTAAAAATTGTTTGTAGTGTTGGTTTGCTGGTCATGAGTTTCTTGGAGGTGATCTTCGTCATGGAAATACCTTATTTCTCCATCAGTTTAAAATTAAAGTTTTGTAGGATTTATCAATCTGGTTGGAAATTGTGTTTTGGGGACTTTGAACACTTCACTCCAGTCTCTCCTAGCCTTTAAAGTTTATATTGAGAAGTCTGCTATGTACTTCTTACAGGATAACCTTTAGAAGTGATTCACTGCTTTTCTCTAGTAAGTTTTAAGATTCTGTCTCTATATTGGACTTCTTGGAATTTTGATTTAGAATGTACCATGGAAAGATTCTCTTTTGATCATGGCTCTTTGGGGTTCTAGATGACCTACTTATCATCTTTGTTTGTTTGTTTTGTGCTTATGTTTGCAGTCACCTATAATGGAAAGAGTTTGTTGCTATGGTGATCACTTTAAATAATGTGCTCAATTATGTACTCAGACCATGGCTAGCTAACAGGGCGGAGAGGTTCCTTTCTAGTCTTTTGCCTCTATTGCAAGATCCAACCACCCCTGTTAATTGGAAAGGAGGGATGCACATAATTGGTCCACAACTCAATTGTTTGGGAAAGAATCACAGTACTTTTCATGTCACAAACATAACCTGGATATTGGCAGGAAAAAAAAAAACATGAATAACAGCAACTATGCAATCCTGGCAATATCAAGTAAATCAATGACAGTAATACTGTCCAAGACAAACTGGCTATTTACATGCCATAAGAACTAATAATGTATCATCTTTAACTTTAGAAAAGAAATATGTAATTATAATGTAAGGCAACCAAATGTTGACATACAGCAAATATTCACTAAATGAAATAACAATAACTCCAATAATAGTACAAAATAATTCAACAGTAGTAACAGAGTTAACTAACTATCTAAAGATTCACAAAGCTTAATGGTGATACTATTAAAGGTACAGGTGGTTGGGAACGGGAGAATACCAGCAGAAAAATTAAACACTGAGAGATAGGACAGAAGTAAGACAAGTGATCCTATTAAGGAATAGACAAATGTTTATAAAATAGATAAAGGTGATAGAAAAAAATGAGAAATAGGAGCTAAAAGAAAAAATAATATAGAGAGTAAAAGTAGAAAAATTAAAAGGAAAAAGAAGAAAATAAGAAAAGGAACATGAAAAAGAAGAAAGGGGAGTAAAAGGACAAAGGAAAATTCCCCAGGTCCCAATAAAACAGTGAAGCAGAAAGAAGAAGGGTGGGGAGGAGAAAATGAGTCCAAAAATATGTTTTTAAATTCTCTGTATTTTTGAATAAGTGGTTTCCTTCCAGGATCTGCAGTCTTAGAGTAAAGCAAGATAATGTTTTCCACCTAGGTCGTAGCCTCTGGGTTTGTGAGGTGACCTCTATTCTAGAGGCCCCTCCGTTTACTCCAGGCTGGGGCAACAACCCTACCTAGATGTGTACTTTCTTACCTGCTAGATAGGTAGGACAGTAGGAGCTCAGATCTGTGCTACATATAGGCAGCAGGGCAAGGGTTCAAATATTTAAAGCTAGTTCATTTAAATACAGGCTTTTCTGAACAAACACAACTGAGTCAGCCTTTTCACTATGGAAGGGTTAAGGGTGGCCTTCCTGGCCAGGGCTTAAATTTCTCAGGGGATTTCTTTCTAGGGAAGGAGTCCATATTGTTTTGGTTTATTCTCTATATTGTGGTGCACAGTGTGTGGTCCCAATTTTCTTGTTAGTTCTTCCCATTTCTCAGCAATTTATTTCTCTTTTTTCTTTGTTGAATCATTTTTTATGGCTTGGATTTCAGATCTCAAAGAGGGTAAATTTTGCCGCAGATCACCACTCTGCCATTTTTCTCCATTCCTAGGACTTTACTTTTGAATCTCAAAATCCAAACATTTGAGTAGGGTGTGGGAGTGTACACCTACAATCCCAGTCTGTAGCAGTATTATTCACAAAAGCTACATTCCTTTTAATGACTAACTAGTATTCTATCATATAAAATATACCTTATTTTGTTTAGCCATTCAACAGTTGATGGATGGAGGTTGTTTCCACTTTGGGGTACTGGAATAATGCTGCCATGAATATTCACATACAAATCTTTATCTGCATGTATATTTTAATTTCTCTTGGGTACATACCTAGAAGTAAAATTTCTGAGTCCTATGGTAAGTTAACTTTTTAATAAACTACTAAACTGTTTCCTAAGGGTCCTATATTATTTACATTCCTACCAGCAATGTATTAAATGTTCTAACTTTTCCATATTTTCGCCAACACTTGTTATTGTCTGTTTTTAATATGATGATTCTAGTAGATGTAAAGATGTGAACACTTTGATTTACATTTCTTTAATCTATTTCATTTTAACAATACATTTGGAGTTTTTCTTCATTTGAATGACTGACTGGTCCTTGAGGCTAGAAACTATCCTAGGCCTTTTGTCAAACAAAGTAAATCATAAAAATTATCTAATAGACATTAAAACATTACTTACTTTGAAGGAAGATGAAAAGGATTAGTATTGTCATTTCTGTGGAACTTTGAATATGTTATCTCATTTATTTCCTGGATTAGCATAAGTAGAAATAGACTCAGAGTTTAATTAACTTGCTAACTAGTGAAGTACTGAGGTGGGATTTGAATCCAGGCCTCTACAAGGCTGTAACTGTAAAGCCCAAGCCACATAAATAAAAACAGGTAAAATTTCTATAGGGAACTTCAGAATAAAAAATTTTGAGTGAAAAGTGCTACGGGAAAGATAAGTATTCCATGTTTTCATATCATAATTAATATTTGTCTTTTAATAGTTAATTGTTTTTCCAAGGAAGTCTTCTCTTATTTTGATGAAGTTGAAAGTCCATACAAAACCCCATTAGCCTGTGGTGCCCTGAGTTTTATGTATTTGTCCTTTCTTTTCCACCAGTGTTCCACAAGCTGTGGGGAAGGCACCCAGACGCGAAGTGCCGTTTGCCAGAAAGTGCTGAAAACCGGGGTCTCCACTGTTGTCAATTCTACGCTGTGCCCACCCCTGCCTTTCTCTTCCTCCATCAGGCCCTGTATGCTGGCAGCCTGTGCAAGTGAGTATGCCAGAGCTCAGGGGACAGGGAGCTGGAAAAACACATAGCAGCAGCCGTAGCCACTATGCAGTGGCCTTCTCTAAACCCAGAACCACTGGGAGACAGCCAGGCAGCCGAGCCCCGTGAAAGGCCACAGGCTGGAGAACTCCCCTGGAGACTTAATCATGTATGGCCAGGCTGGATTCTCTTCTTCACTACAAAAACTTTGCAAGGGGCACAGCAAAGTTCACTTGTTGGCATACAGAGATCTGGAAGCTAGAGGGAGCCTATTCCTAATGAAGTCTAATGTTATCTACTCTGGGCTCTTAAACTACTCTAAACAGTTCTGTTCCATTACTATTAATCCCTAGGGTTGTCACACTTCAGGCCTTCCCTCACTGTGTCCGTGAAGACTCTGGTATTTCACAAAAGCCTAAAGATAGACATTTAATGAAGGATATTTTCCTTCCTTTGTCCTCTGCCTCTTTTTATGATGCTAATTTCTTATTTTAAATGCTTTTAATGAGAGTAACATCCTGCCCCCAGGCTCCCTCCACCTCGATCCCTGTACCCCAGCTCCTAGGGGCATCAGCCCCAGCAGGGTGGTCTACAGGTTGCCACCCTGTACTTCATTAGATCTCTGCTTCCTGATGATAGTACCTACTTGAAGGGGCACAGCTGGTAGCCAGCTTCTGGGTGTGGCGGGGTGGGGGAAAGTGGTAAATAATGATGCTGGCAGATAACTCTGAAGAGCATTTTCCTCTGTTGTCCCCTTTGTTCTTCTGTCCTCTCATCACTGCATCTCACTTTGGCTTTCCTCTGTTTTTCCCTCTCTCTTGGTCTATCTGGCCCCCTCACATCCCAGGGCCTGGGCAGCCATCCACAAAGTACAGCCCTCAGATCACTGCTGCACGGAACGTGTATATCCAGATGCGGCGACAGAGGAAACTGCACTTCGTCATGGGTGGAATCGCCTACTTGCTGCCCAAGACAGCCGTGGTACTCCGGTGCCACACACGAAGGTTCCACAAGCCGCTCATCACATGGGAGAAGGATGGTCAGCACCTCATCAGCTCTGCCCATGTCACAGTGGCCCATTTTGGCTACCTGAAGATCCACCGCCTTAGGCCCTCTGATGCTGGCGTGTACACCTGCTCTGCAGGACCTGCCAGGGAACAGTTTGTGATTAAGCTCATTGGAGGTAACCGCAAGCTCATGGCACGGCCGGTGAGCCTTCCCAGTGAAGAAGAAGCCCTTCCAGAGAGGAAGTCCAGCCCAAAGGAGGCCCTACAGACCCACAAACACCAGAATGGGATCTTCTCCAACAGCAGCAAGGCTGAGAAGTGGGGTCTCACTCCTGACTTGGGGAGCCGCTATGATGACATTGTCTCCCGGCTGTTGGAGCATGGGGGCTGGCCCGAAGAGCTTCTGGCTTCCTGGGAGCTGCAAGACTTCACAGAAAGGAACGCATCCTCCGAAGAGGATCCAAATGCTGAGCAGGCCCTTCTGCACCTCCCTTTCACCTTGGTGGCTGAGCAGAAACGCCTAGACAACATTCTCAGGAACCTCTCCCAGCAGCCTGAGGAGCTACGTGACCTATACAGCAAGCACCTGGTAGCCCAGCTGGCCCAGGACATCTTCCGCAGCCACCTGGAACAGCAGGACATGCTTCTTAAGCCCTCAGAGCAGAGGTTTCCCCTAGCGGCCACACCTCATAAACACGTGTCCAGCTTCAGCACCTCCCTGCGGACCTCTGCCAGCGAGGCCAGCGGCAGCTCTCGCAGGCCACATCGCAAGCCTACCATCTTGCGGAAGATCTCAGCTGCTCAGCAGCTATCTGCCTCTGAGGTTGTCACCCACCTTGGGCAGACTGTAGTCCTGGCCAGTGGGACGCTGAGTGTGCTGCTAAACTGTGAAGCCATTGGCAACCCAAGGCCGACCATCAGCTGGGTCAGGAATGGGGAAGAGATTCAATTCAGTGACAGGTAAGTTTGCAACTACCTGGGCTAAGAAGAAATGTGAAGAAGGGAAGGGTGTGCCAGGGGCCACATCTCAACCAGCCCAGGATATTCACACAAGCAGGGTTAGAGCACAGGGTCTTAGAATCCGCTCCTAGGTTCCAGACCCTCTCTCCGCATTGATAAGCTGTGGGAGCAAACACAAAGTGGGAATGCTTTTATCTAGGGGAGAGTACCCCTGCCTACCCACCCATATCCATGGAACCCCAGTGATGAATACTGTCTGGGTAGCTGTGAATTTCAGCAGAAAGCTACTAGGCTGTGCCATTATTATATGCAGTATCTGCTTTGAAAGATGGAACTAGAAAGCTTTGACACCAGGACCCTGCTTCATGTGTGTGGTTCCCAGGGCAAGGGAGACTGCGGCTGGCATCTACTCTTCCGTACAGGTGAGCCTTCCCTTCATCTGTGCTGGACAAAACCACTTGTTCCAAAAGCCTTTTATTCCTGATAGGACCTCTCTTAATTATCCTAGTATTTCTTGGTGTCTTAGATGGCATGGTCACTTACTGATCTCACTGGGCCATTAGCTATTCATAATGTGAAAATCAATAATGGTAGTAGAAGTAATAATAGCAGTACTTTATGACCACTACCTATGTGTCAGGTACTGTGCCACACTTTGAACATACATTGTCTCGTAATCTCTGCAATGACCCTGACCACAGTGGCAGCTGGCCTTATAATTGAGTAAGGCCTGTCTGCAAGGCAATCGCTGAGGTTCCTTCAACCTTTTTATCTCATGTATAGAGGGTTAAGAAGGCTAAAACCCTTTTGATGATGGAGATCAAGAATCTTCAACACAGTAGCACCAAAATTTTCTGTGCACGTTGTTTCTGAGAGGTCCACATACTAGGTTCAGGGGCACCTGAGTTTGAGAAGTGTCAAGTTAAAGCTAAACAGATGTAATTACCTCAGTGTTTTATGTCTATTTCTTAATTGACCATTTTATTATAATATTAATAAAGGGGCTATAAAACAATTCAAATGATATCAAAATCTGTAAATTAAAAACAACAAGTCTTCCTCTTCCCCCCAAATCCTATTCCCTGGAGGCTATCACTTAATAATTTAGAATACACCCATTTAGAATTCTTATACATTTTATTGTATTACATAAAAATATATACAGATAAGATTTCAGTTTTTAATAGAATATTAGTCATGTTCAGAAATTTGACTCAGTTTTTATTTCACATGATGAGGAGACAGTTTTACAATAGCACATAGAGATGAATTGTTACCTTTAAAACAACCAGTTACTGATTTTGAATGCCTTTATTCCCTAACTGAAAACTATTTGGGAAATTCTATTTTTTTTTGACTCTTTTAAACCTTTGTTGTGACTTTCTAAGTGGACCGTATATAAAATACAGGGCATTTAAAGTATTTCCTTGGTCACTGAACAATTTTGTGCTTGGTAATTTCAGGAGCATCAACAATTCTTGAAATGACACGTAAGAAACACTTCCTTAGCCTTTTGATTTTTACTCTTTGGTAATTTAGACCTTAACCCCAGTAGCAGTATAACTCGGAGAAAGTTCAGTGAAATTTTGCAAAAAAAAAAGAAAAAGAGAGAAACACCACATGGTATCCAGGTGCTAGAAATATACAAAAACTGTATTGGGCATTAAAACAACACAGACTATGTCCTGGATCCTCAATCACACAGAACATTGGCTGAGGGAGGAAAGGCATAAACAATTTTTGCCATCATAATTTTTCCCCTAGATCTAGCCTTGAAAAGCTTTTCAGTGTAAGTTAATTGCATCTAACCAAGAAAAATAAGAGATTTCTGGTTGTGATGCTTGGCATAATCATTTCATTTTCCTTGAGTAAGAAATAGAGCTGGAGCTTAGTGTTCTGTAGAGCTTTTCAAGTTCTGTTTGAGAAAAAGGGATAAACGTATTTTCTCAGAGCTGCAGGAGGCATAGAGGTGCCTGGGGAATACTTTGCTGTGGACTCTTGGTGACCTCTTCTGTGTTGGGTGTCATTGCTTGTCATCATCCCTGTGTCTGGTTACACTTGAGATGCTCATATGTTTTCAAACAGAGAAGTGCTGACATGCCCAGTGTGATAGTTCAGTTAGTCTGTTTTTGCTTAGTACCCAAATCCACCTTTCTGGGAGACTGCAAGATTCAACTGCCTTTTGCTCTGTAGGTCTTTGAAACTTCTTAGCATAGAGTATAAATTACTTGAACTAGCAAGAACAGGTCACGGGAAAGAAAGTGACTCAAACCTGTCATTTCTTCATCTTTTAAACATTGCAAACCTTGATTTGAAAGAAATTACTTTTATGGAAGAATCACTAACAGCTCAGATACTACTGAGTCTCATCATATATACATTTCACTAATAAATTCACATGATTCTTAGAACTGTCATGAATTTCTGACTCTAAACTGGGTCCTTTATCTCTCTTAAATTGAGGAAGCAATAACTAACTGAGCACCGATTGAACAGTGAAAGAAATTTTATTCTTGGCCAAGAAGAAGTGGGAGATAAACTAACACATCAGCTTCTCAATCCATTGGTTGGTAAGCCATAGATATAGGGTAAAAGAAAGGAGGGGAAGAAACAGGCAGGAGTGCCATAGGTTCACCTCCACTGGTCTAGAACTCATCATGGGGAGGGACCTTCTTAGATAAAGGGAAAGCTAAGCAAAAACCCTAAATTTGACATAAGCTTGGGGTGTCAGTGGAAGTTAAAATGAGATCATATGGCTGGAATGTGGGAAGGGATGAGGTTGTGGAGCTAACCCGAGTTCTAGGAAAGGAGTTTGGGTTTTATTCTAAGACCAAGTGAAGGTATTATTAGGCAGGAACATGGAATGATTTGATTCTCATCTCTGCAGAGGGCATGTGGAGGAACACGAGTGGAGGCTGGGGGCTGGTCAGGGGTAGTGCAGTAGTCCCTTCAACACCAGAAATATTTGCTGGGCAGTGGACAGAGTGACAGGCACAGTCATGAGCTGATAAAGCAGAAACACTGCTCTCCAAAAACAAAGCAACACTGAAGAGGTGTGGGATAAAATAACTTAAACCTTCTATTTGTATAACACTGCGACTAGCTTAATTTTTCTCTTTAAATTTCTAAATTTTACAAAGTAAACAAAAGGGGCTCCCAAATCTAATATGCGTAATAATTACCAGAAAACTGTCAGAATGAGACTCATCCTCCTCTAGCCCTGGAAACTCTTTCTGTAGTAGGAACCTATAGTTGGCATCCTGCTCGTGATTCTGAAACTGGAACTCCCAGGACCAACTTTAGGAAGGACTGTGAAAGGAAGAGGAGAGGAAGGTAACTCTCAAAGTAGAACTGCACGCTTGCTCTTAGCTCCAGTAAAAGACTTAGTGGAGGTCAGCAGAACTCCCTGCTAACATGACCTTTAGGAACTGCGCCATTCGCTCCCTAAGCAGCTCCTGTCTTTCCACGCCGTCCTCTCAGACTGCCGCCAAGCCCTCATCGTCATGGGCTATGCTTCATTCAGCCTGGGCGTTGAACCTGAGAGAGACCCGATGGTGGAAACAGGTGCCCACATGTAATGGAAGCAGACACAGTGGGAGTTAGTCAAAGGGTCTACTTTTCTGGCAGTCAAAGGCTGCCAGTTTTCTTGAAAAGCCCTGGCCTGGCTAGACTGTGGCCACCTGGTTCAGCCTGGGAACAAAGAAGCAATAACTGTCTCAGGCTTCTCTGCACAACCATCAGGCGTGTTAGTAAGTGCTTTTCAGTGCCTTTTGAACACAACAGAATTCAGCCTCATTTTCTTTAGCACTAAAGTTGTTTCAGTTGCTGCATCTTTTCAGCTGTTGTGGCTTTGTGCCTGATTGGTTTCACCATGTTGCTGCCCTGCAAAGCTCATTAGAAGAAAAGTATGCTAGGCTCATGTCGTGGGCCAAGTGCATTAGTGGTACCAGAGTGGTTTGAATACATGAATATTATAGCCTTGAAGTAGCGATTTACAACCCCAAAATATTTTACATATAGAATACTATTTTCCATATCTAGCACACCCCAGGGTTATTAATTATGAATTTTTTACCTATTACTTTTTTGTATGTGCTGAGGATTCAACCCAGGGCCTTGCAAGTGCGAGGCAAGTGTTCTATCACTGACCAACACCCACAGGCCATGAACTTTTTAAAACTTCTACTTAAAATATCTGCATAGTTTATTGCAAAATGAGCTTTTACTTGACATCTCATATTCCAAGGCTCCAATGCAACATACACTTTTCCCTCCACCCACCCCCAAAAGTTATATATGTTTTGTCCAGAAAGAAGAAAGTTCTCATTCTCATTCTCTCTCTCTCTCTGTCTCTCTCAACATTTCTTATCTAATTTAACCTCTCACCAGGATTATACAGGCTAACCACTTTTTAAACACATTTTTTTGCTTCCTTAAAAACCACGTGCACTTGGCTTTCTTCCTATTTCTCTGGCTGTTCTTTCTCATTCTTTGAAATCTCCCTACTTACCACGTATCTATCCTCTTACAGTCTCACTCTCTATGTACTAGTTATTTCTATGACTCTGTTGCCACAAAATTCAAGTACAAATTTCAGAATCTCTACTACAATAAAGAACACACTATCTGTTCAACTTCCCAAGCCAGCACCTTTTTCTCTTTCCTCTTTAGTCATCCTCTAGCTCTCTGGTGGTTCTTTAGTCCCTCTGCTTCTGTCTCACTTTATCCTCTCTACTTCGATTTGCTTTTGGTAGCTCTAGGTTCTTTTTTTAATTTAAAGAAAGACTAAACACAACAGAAAATGGGTAGAAATAATACATACTTTCAAAGAGAGAATAAACAGTAAGAAATCACTAGTTGATGATTACATATTGTCCTCTTGCAAATAGTTATTCAAGATACAAAAGTGGAGCATATAAAGTGGGGTTTCAAACAGCGAGACTGCAACCAGTTCTGTTCAACTATCCAACAAAACTTAGAAATATGGTTATCAATCCTAT